AATACAAAGAACTGCCTACCAAAAATCCCCCTCCTCAAAAAAAACTTACATCTCAGAGGTTGAGCGCTATACTTTTTTTTTTTTTTTACCCATTATTTAATCAAGGAAAAATGCGGCAAATTCACGTCTGCGGCGCGGACGATGTTGGCCGCGGACACGGCTGTATATACGGCCGCTCTCCAAGGTCGATCCCGTGGACGCGTCCACGGGTGTTTTGTAGCCGCATGATAATCACTGACCTAAAAATATGTTGCGGAATGAATCAGATATAAACAAACGGAAGGAACTCTCGGATAACTTTCGCTCTATCTGGGTAGACACTGCAGAAAAACTCTGCGAATTGGACCATGATAACCAACTACGATGGAAACAGGGGATGCTGACGGAACCACAATGGGAACGATTACCAAGATGCCATTTTCAGTTTCCATTCCATCCGACCAACTTGGTCCTTCTCCCGGCCTGATATCCCCCCTCACAGTTCTTAACCCTCTTTCTCTCTTGGACCTTTCCAATCCCTCCCCAAACCCTTCCTCAATCCTGCCCTACTACCCTCCCCACTACCCTCCCTCCCCTCCCTTCCCGACCACACCCGCTTCCCAATCCCACCGCAGATGGCCGGCCAAGAAGGGACTTCGGGTGGTACAGCAGAGGGGATTACTCCCCGAAGATAGAAGATGCACCCAGGCTCCACTATACATCGACTCTCCGACAACAGATTGTTCCTCACAGCTGGAAGGCTGCCAGACCAGTGGAGACAACCTCAGATAGACTCAGACAGTATGTGTGAACGACAATACAACAGCAACGCGACATTGTGAAGACACAATGACATGATGACACGACGGCATGGGTTTATGGGTAGGTGGGAACAAGGGGCGGCTGAGGCCACCCCATACCAATCGATGGGTTGTTCTTTGGGATACAGGAGGGTGGAACAAGGGACGTCCATAGAGTTAATGGGCTAAATGGGCTTATCGGTGTGCTTGGATGGAGGGCAGGTGTAAGGGGCTCCATTCACCATATCCCACTCAATATGTGCCATTATGGGACAAGAGGCACAACTAGAAACAACTTCAACTGCAACTCATGCAGCACGGGGCTACTGTCAACAATGACGTAACAGACCCTGCATAATGCTATAAGTAGATGGACTGTAAGTGATAGGCACTCAGGCCTCATTAGATTGGCTTCGATGACTCAGTTTGGTTTCGAGATACTTTTGATCAGCGGGATTGGGTTCTCCCATCATCTGACATATATTGGTTAAACGTGCAATGCCATACGTAGGCAGGTGGAGTTACCAACACATCTCTGCATAGGGACGCTGGACCCGATTTCCAGCAGCTACGTTCACAGCATTATACAGGGACGCTGGACCCGTTTTCCAGCAGGTGCAGCTCCCCACCAATAGATGGAGCCTTCAACGCTGGGACCTACTTACC